ATGTCATATCTCTGTTACTTATTTTTTGTTTTTGAGACAGGGTCTCCCTTGTAGCCCAGGCTGCTTTGGAACTCACTATTTAGCCCAGGCTGGCCTAGAACTCTCCATCCTCCTGCCTCGGCCTCCTGAGTGCTGGATTGCAGACATGCACCACCATGCCTGACTATTTTTGTTTATTTATTTCTTAAGCTTTGTGAGTGAACTGTCTTCATATTATCATGGGATAAGCACCTAGCAGAGAGGAGCCAAATAATAAGTCAGTAGATGTTTATTGAATTATGATGCATTAGAAAGAGGCTCCAATAGGTGTTAGCAGATGGATGATTTAGCATGAATCTTAGTTTTATATTGCTAGTATGGCATTATGCAAGTCTTTCATACTATACCTTTATTGCAGAACAACATCACTACATAGTTTACTCTACTGTAGTCTGATGGGAATTCATTTTGTGATGGTTTCAGAATTACCCTTTTATTTGTTCACCTTTTAAAGCATAAAATTTGTCAAGATAACACTTCAATTTGTTGTGTGTGCTAAGCCATTACTGTTTACAGATGGTATGTTGTAGCTGTCATTCAGATTGAAAGGGAAAAATTACACTCATAGAATCCCATCTGCTTTGTAGCAGGATTTAGGACTCACAACAAAACCTAATTTTATCTTTCTTATACATCAGTAATAGGGAACTTTCAAAGAGCTGATTGCTAAAAGTAAGCATCACTGTTAGGAATTTCAGGCTGTAAAAATGATGAGATTTCTTGAAAAAGATTGTTTATAAACTTGCTTGATATGATGAAACCTGTTGTCAGAAGAAAATGGGAAGCTATAAAGCCAAATCTAGGTAATAATTTGCATTAGATGCCTGTCTGAAGGTTAGAGAACCAGGTAAATGACACCATAGAAGTTTTTCTCAATCTCCTACTAGAGTCTGCTTTGAGTCTGAATAGTGCATTGCCCCTGGCAGTTGTTTAATATGAGTCTCCTGAATGAAGAAGTGCATGGATGGTAGCATCTCAGCCTGTTTCCTCATCTGTAAGGTGATGGTTTTAATATCCACGTTGCTGGACTGTCTCTAAGACCAGAGAAACTGCATTTCAAATGCCCCATGCAGGTGCCCAGCAAGTACTACGGGCTTTGTAAATGATATCTCTTGTTAATCATTTTCTGCACCTCCCCACTCTCTTATATGGTAGTAGGTTGTTAGTAGGTTGATTGCCATGATCTTTCTGGTTGACATTTCTTTATTTTTTCTTTCTATTTTAGTTGTTGGCCCTCCATTTTTCCTTCTTATTTTATCTTTAGGAAGACATGTGAATAATAGAAGCACTTGCTCTTTAAGTAGTGTATTTCTCATGACTCTGTAGTGCTTGGATGAAGTTGTATGTATGCACAGCATGGCTCAGAACTTGTATTTTTCTATCCTATATGAACAGGAACCCCAGTGAGGGGATCAATGGACATGAGAGAATGTCACTGTGAAATAAAAGTTCAAGGGTTGGAATTATTGCTATTATACTCCAGGATCTGAAATAAAATGCTTTCTGTAAAATGGGAAGACTTGTAGGTACCAATTTACTTAATTTTTTAAAGGATAATTTTCTCCATAGGAGTCATTAATAATCACAGTAGAATTGAAATGCCCCGGATGGTAATCTATACTCCAATCACATGGACATAGACTTTCAGAGAAATAAGACCTGAAAGATCATTGATTCCCACCAACTAAATGCTTGATTTTCCTCTGTCATGACTCTCCACAGAATTGCTTGGCCTTTGTTTGGACACTAGTACTGATGGGAAAGGGTTCTCTACCTTCCATGGCAGGCATTTCATCAGCAAATACTTTTGACATTTGGAACAAAGTACTTCTTCATGGCAGTCTTTATAGCTTTCTTTCTTTATTTCTTTTTCTTTTTTTTTTTTTTAGGAAAAAACCAAGCAAGCAAGCAAGCAAAGGTGTACTTTATCAAATGAGTTGGAAAACATTGCATGCAATGCCTATACCCAAGAGTCACAATGTGCATGTGTTTTGCTGGGTAATATTTGTAGCATGTCTAATCTTTCATATTTCACAAACTTATTTGATTGTGAACCTTTATTTTTCCAGAAGATCTATTCAAGAGCAGCTTAGAGCAGTTTGGAACATAGTGTGCTCAATAAATGTTTATTTAAAAAAAGTGAATGAACATAAAATACAGCTTTGTGAACTTTAAGGTACACCCTGTATTAAGATGACACTGTTTCTGGTTTCTGCAAGTGACACAAGTAGAGCAATTGATTGGATGGCTACAGTCTTCTGTCTGTGAACTATCTCAAATATATTAATTTGCATTTCTTGGAGGACTTTGAAAATTCATACTTGAATTCTTAACTTATATCCTCATTTGTATTATAAAAGAAATATCAGTGATATATTTGCAACTGTGGTTAAGACAATAAGAGCCTGATTCTTCTTTCTTATCATTTATAGAATGAATGAATTGGCAAACACTTTTACCATCTTTTGATTTCAGTTTGTGTCTGATTGTACAACACAATATTGTGCAGAACTCTTAAATGAAGATCTGCTCCAAAAGGGTATTGGTCAGATTAGCTATTGCGTTGCAGCTCTTTATTTGTGCTTAGCAACTAGTCCAAAGTAAGGAGAATGCACGCTTTTTATTTGTGAGTAATTGAACTTTCCCCATGGGGCAGCGTGACAAACTTCCTATGAAATGTGCATCTGCTCAACAAGGAACATGCTCTAATGGGGGCTTGGTCCAGAGTTGGTGAACTGGGCTTTTCTTTTTTCATGCTTTGGAATAAAATTTAAAGGGTCAGGAGAGAAACAGTATAATCATAGTTGCTCTCACTTTTGTGTTTCTGGAGGCAATCTGTGTGGACATTCTAGAGAGTCAGAGACAAAGCAGAATGCAGCTCAGTGTCCCAACTTTCTCTGCATCCCATACTCTCTGCTTCATTGTCAGCAATAATCTCACCTTGTCCTTGGTGGCTGCTTAGTGATAACCCCATCTTTAGTTGCCTTTCCTGCCTTAGTTTTTCTGCCTTCAGTCTGTTTCCAACCTAGAACATTTTCTTAAAGTGTAACATTTTTTTAACCATCATTTCATTCCTTTTTGTTAGGGTGGAATGCTATTTTATTGGCACAATTGTTGGAGACATTTTAGCGATTAAAAACACCAGTATGTTTTTCTTATATCTGTGGATTTAACATGCTGTTGGAACTCATAGAAATTTCTTAGGACCTCAGAAAGCTTTTGCTATGTTGTAATGAGGGGTAGGGTGGGAGTGACTTGTTCAAGATTGCAGAGCAACTCAGTGGCTGAGCTAAGTGAGGCCTTGCTTCTCCTGCTCTCAGCCCATGAGCTTTTAGGCAAGAGTTGGAATGATATGGGAAGAATCAAGTTGCACATATTAGTACTTTCAGATCTGCCATCTGATATACAGTTCATCAATTTATATCCATAGGTATTCCTGCTGACCAAATCAGGGGAGAAATTTGGGAAGGGATGTTTTTATGTCTAATGCTCTTTTATTTAAACCATATGTCATTGTGACTTTTGTAGGTGTGGAGAAAAGAGAAGATTCGAGTCCTTTTCCCATTATCTTTCCACTGTGTCTCCATGCCTAAAAGTGTGAATGTGTGACACATGTCTCTGGCTATTACAAGCATATCCTTTTATCTGAGGAAACACAGCCTCCAAAGAGTGTCAATGTGTACACCTTGGCCTGAGATACACACCAGATATCTATCTGTCGGTCTGTCTATCTATTTATCTATCTATCTATTTACCATCTATATGTGTATTCCTGTGTATATATATACCTGTTACTTATAAGGCATTGTTATTAATTTTTATGTTTTGTCCAATCATAGGCTTATAATGGCTTGTATCTTATGAAAATAAAGTGCCAATTCATTGCTTTATGTTTCAAATCTGGGGAGGCAGTCATTCTGTAAATAGATACTATATTCCACTGCAGTGGTGGTGGCTCATGGAGAACTTGTTTTAATTCCCTTGAGAAGCATTGGCCTTGATAAACCATATCCGTATGGTAGGATTTGAGGAGCACAAGAAAGGCAATGTGTCATCAGCCTGACACCACTAGATACCAGGACTTTGAAGGCACTTTTTTTAAAATAGAGAGCAGATAGAAATTTATGGCTTCATAAGATATATGAAGCCACAGGCAATAAAACCAGCAATCTGAAATAGCCTAGTTCAATGACCTATTTTCTTTAAAAAGTTATCGTTGTTCATGGACCAGAGGCAGATAAGGGACTTTGATTTTTGGTCCCTGCAATATCAGAACATTTGAACATTAGAAGTTCTCATTTAAGATCTGGGACAAATAGAAAATAAACATTGTTTCATTTGTAATGATAAAAAATGAAATAACATGCTATTGTTTATGTGGTACCGGCTGTTACACCAGCTATTTCACAGTTTATAGATAAGAAAACTGAGGCTCAGAGAGGCTCAGTACTTACCTGTATTTGTACAAGTAGCAATGCACCAAGCTGGATTTGAATCCAGGTCTCTCTGATCCTCTCTTTCTGATTTACAGAATGGGATAATATTATCACCTCAGGAGTCTTTTAGGGATCCAATAAGATAGAAGATCCTAAAAGTGCTTTGTAATTGTAATAAGGCTTTGTGGATGAGATACTGTCAGAATAGAAGAGAATGTACTACAGTGTCTCCTTATGACTGTCCCCCTTCAAATAAATACGAATGTTCTGATGTTTGCACATTTCCCCTTGGCTTTCTGGTGGGTGAGAGTAGATTATATATAGGACACAGATTCTGAGAAGTAGGTCACAGGTTGTACACGTCCAGTGATGTTTTCAAGGACACTCATTCCCTATGGCTAAGGGAGGAAAGAGATTTGCTATGTATCTGTAGAAAGAGTTCTTTTGGACACAGTGAGAAATCCTGTGTGTGTCTAGCTGCACTTTAACATGGATGTCTTTTCCTCCCCTTTCTTGTTTGTCATAGAAACCGAGCTGCTCCTCTGTGTGAAGGACATCAGTCACTTCTTAATGCAAGACATCGCCTTCCTGTCTGGTAAGCAAACATTTTCATGTGTTTAAGTGCAGATAAAAGTATGAGCTGATGAGCAGTTTTTTGGCAGTTAGTATTAAATATACTGCTCTTACTCTCTATATGCATATGCATATATTAGTTTGAGAAACATTATTTTAATAAACATTAATATGCTATGCACTATTTGCTAAACAAATGGGCCTTCAGGTTTAAAACATGTTTAAATATGTTATTAAAACCAACCTACCACTCTTGTACATTTGACTTCAGACAAATCTTCAGGACCCCCATGACAGGTGTGTCTCCCAGGTGGGTGCAGGCTGGATGAGAGGGAAGAAGTTGAGGTAGCTTCCTTGAGGTTTTCTCTTCTGTCATAGTTCTGACTATTCAAAGTTTATTACAAATGTGGACAAGTCACTCAAATTATAAACCATGTGTTAAATAATTTCTAAGGACTTCATTTACACATGATAAAGTTTAATTTGCTCAAAAATGTATTATTTATATAGCTATTTTATATAATTTTTAAATGTAAAGTATACATTACATAAAAGTTACCATCTTAACCATCTTAAGACACAGTTCAATGGCATTAAGTATGTTCACATTTTTGTGTGTCATTACCACCACCTTTGTCTAGAATTCCTTTTATTTTGAAAAATTGAAACTCTGTACCCTACTCTATGTAGCGCCATAACAAATGCTATTTTCCTTTCTGTCTCTATGGATTTGACTATTCTAGCTATTTGATATAATGTTATTTGTCATTTGGTGACAGACTTATTTCGCTTAGTATACTATCCTTAAGTATCATCCATATTATACCATGTGCCAGAATTTCTTTCCTTTTAAAGGTCAAATAATATTTCATTGTATGTATATACTACATTTTAAAAAAGTTTTCTTTTTAAAAAACCTTTTTATTATTGTTGTGCTGGGGTACATTGTGACATTTACAAAAGTTCTTACAATATATCATAATTGAATTCGTCCCCTCCATCATCTACATTTTCTTTATTCGTTCATCTGTTGATGAATGCTTGGGTTGTTTCTATCTTTTTGATGATTGTCAACAGTCCTGCTAAAGAGCATTGTGCACTTTTAGAGATGTAACTATGGTAAACTTCCCCACTCCTTTTGTTACTGGTCAGATTCTAGGGAAAATTTGGCTTAACAACAAGGAAATTATTTTTAGGCATTAGAGTAACTTGAATGATACCATTAACTATTATATTTTCTATATGAAGCAGGTAAAGAAAAAAAAATTACCAGCATATACATTGTTTCCACGTAAATTAAGTGCTCCCTTGTTATTGAGAGTATGGCACCTAATGTGGTCATTTTAGTAAACAAGCATTGACTTTACAGGTGATCCCAATTGGACACTGCAGTCTGGCCTCTGCTTTTTTAATGATTATAATTCGTTGCAATTGTGAATTAATGGTGACTTAATTAATGTGGTTTTCTGTTTCATTTTATAAATGACATACTATAGTGCTCCCTTATCTGCAGCTTCACTTTCTGCCATTTTTTATTATCTGTTATCAACTACGGTCTGAAAATATTAAATGGAAAATTCCAGAAATCAACAATTGATAAGTTCTAAATAGTGTACCATTCTGAGTGGTGTGATCAAATCTTATACTGTCCTACTTTATCCCATCTGGGAAGTGAATCATCTCCTAGTCCAGGATATCTGTGTTGTCTAAGCTACTGACCTATTAGTCACCTATAGCCATCTTCTTAGCAGATTGACTGTGATCCTTGTTTGAGAAACCCTTCTTCTTTTTATTTTTAACTCTTCTTTCTTTCCTTCTTTTTAGACAAGGTTTTGCTATGTAGCCCAGGTTGGCCTCGAATTCATGATCCTCTTGCTTCAGCCTCCTGAGTACTGGTATTATAGAGATGTGCCATCATATCTTACTCTTATTTTTCTTAAAAATGGCCCCAAAACGCAAGAATAAGTGATGCAAAGCTGGGCTTGGATTCAATCCCCAGCAATGCAAAAGGAAAAAAAAAGAATACTGATAATAGTGATGCAGAGGTAGTACCATGGCATAAAACATGGAAGGATAGATTAACTCTGGTATTGTGTGCAACCCTGCAGGGCATATAGGAAAAGCCATTTATACCAGGTTCACTAGTGGGTTTCAAGCCACTGGGGGTCTTTGAAGGTATCCTTTGTAGAAAAATGGGGATTACTATTCTGTCTTAGTAAATCCGGTCATATGTTAGGTTTGCTTTTAAGATTTGGGGATTTTATTTAAGATTATCAGTGTTTTCTGAGCTAGTGAGGTAGCTCAGTTGTAGAGCACTTAGTGTTCTCTAAACTGTGTTCTGAGTAGAACCATCCTCAGGGCTTGCTTCATCATCCAGACCTCGCTCCGCACTTATCCTTTCTTATCTATGACAGAGAAAAATAATTGAAACCTCCCAATGTAGAATATCAATATCTTTTTCATTCTTTCCTCACAAATATACTACCTAGTACACTACTTGTAAGTGCTCAGTGGTAGTAACAGTTGATAAGTTAGTCTGTGCTATTGTTATAGGAACCACATATGTCCTTTCCTTTGATAGATATAGTTTGCATAAGTGTCACATGGTTTTGTCCTTAACCAGAGTGTTCACCAGCTTGTTGTATTACACATATATAACATATATATTAAATTATATATTGCACATTGTTTATATAATTAGTTCTACAGTATAACCCACCTACATTTAGGATTATGACCCCTTTGGTGAACTGACTACTTTGTAATTGTCAAATAATCTTCTTTTTTAAAAAAAAAATTATACTCGTTTATTCATATGTACATACATTGTTTGGCCCATTTCTCCCCCCTGGCCCCCATCCTCTTCCTCTCCCTCCCCTCCCTTGCTTTCCAGGCAGAATCTGTTCTGTCCTTATCTCTAATTTTGTTGGAAAGAAAACAAAAGCAATAATAAGAGAGACTCAAATAAGCTTCTTAATATCTAGTAATAGTCTTGGCTCTGAAATCTACTTTGTCTTATAGGCAGCATAGAGTTGGGTCTTGCTTTTTATTCAGTTTGATGATCTTTGACTTTTAATTCTAATACCTAGATCATTTACATTTAAGGTAATTGTTCATATGATTCTGTTTAAATTTACCATATTACTACTTGTTTTCTATTTTTTTCCATTTCTGCCTTCTTTTTTTGTTTGAGTGGGACTGGGGTTTGAATTCATGGCTTCATGTTTGAAAAGCTGGCACTCTGCCGCTTAAGCCATTTTGCTCTGGTGATTTTGGAGATGGAGGTCTCACAAACTATTTGCCCAGGATGGCCTTGAACAATCTCAGCTTCCCAAGTAGCTAGGATCACAGGTGTGAGCCACCAGTGCCTGGCTTCTGCCTTCTGTTGCATTATTTTTATCATATATAAAAAATGTATAGACATATTTTTAATGTATTTTTATCAGCATAAATTAATTGTTTAAAGGAATTTCATTGTAACATTTATACACATGCATATAATGTACTTTGATCAAATTCACTGCCTCAGTTATTCTTTCCAATCCCTCACCTGCTCTTACCCCCTTTAATGCTTTTTAGTGGGTTTCATTATGCTATTTCATATATATCTATTATATATAAATCTATTATTCAATTATATTCACCCTACCATCACTCTCTCATTTCTCCCATCATTCTGTCATTTCTCCCATAACTCTGTCATTGGTTCCTCCCTACAAACAGTCCACCTTCTACAATCACGTTATATTATTATCATGTTTCTAGGTCTTGATTCCACATATGAGTGAAACATACAAGATTTGTCTTTCTGGGTTTTTTGGAAACACAGTCTCTCCATGTAGCCCATGCTGATCTGGAACCCACAATCCCTCCTGCTTCCACCTTCCAAATGCTGGTCTTACAGCTAAGCACTACCATGTCCACTTCTATTGTCATATTTTTATTGCACGTTAAATTTTGAAAATATCTTTATATATTCTCTTAAATTCAGTGAAGTAATACTTACAAGTAAACCTATCAAAAAGTTCTGTTAATGAGATAAATTCAAAGGCCACCCTACAACTTTGTTTCCCAATTCTTCAGATTCCATTGAGCACTTACTCTGTGTGAAGGTTTTAGATCAGCTGAAGATTGGGACCATAGACATGTGTAAAGCTCGTGTGTAAAGAGTTGTAGATGGCTTTCATTCTCAATGCACCCCATCTTCCAGGCTGTATAGGGGCTACAGGATTGGGTGGAGAGACAGGTAGAGAGATGGCAGTTTACCCTCAAGCAAAAGCCCAGTGTTAGTACAGTTATTCCCCACCAAGAATTCTGGTGATGGTTATCCCTACTGTGGGTCCCTGCAGAAATGGGCTCAGGGCATCCTGACCTATGACTCTTGGGGAAGCATGGGTCCCACCCATGTGACAGAAGTACTGCTGGAGGAGTTACAGCTAGATAAAACTACTCCAGGTTCATGGTGTGGGGGTCCTGGGAGGTGGGGAGGCTTCCTTAACCTCCTCCCACCCTGTTCTCAAGGCCTCATTCAGGCTACACATTCAGTCTTTTTTTTAAGACAAGATGTTTATTATTATAAAATATTAAATAAAGCAAATAATAAACAAATTATAAAATATAAAAAATAAAGTATAAAATAAAATCCAGCATATGTAATATATCCTATTGATACATGTTTTTATTTCATTTCTTTTGGGTTGAAATAATACCATTTCCTAGCTCTGAGATTATTTTTTACTGCTTTTTTATTTTATTTTTGAATACTCATATATTAATAATATGAGGTGATTTCATTGTGATAATTCCATGCATGTGTACAGTGAACCTTGAATAAGTTCACCCTCTCCATTATATGTCCTCTCTCCCTTTCTCTCCTCCTCTTTTTCAGACAGTGTTTCGTGGGTGTCATTATGTGGTATTCATATGTATATCGGTATTCTTTCCCCCATCATGCAGTATAAGCCCATGTAGAATTTGTGGTCTTGCTTTGTATTCATAGAATCCCTATACTACTACTATTATTTCTTCTGTTGTTTCTTTCACAAGTAAATATGTTAAATGAATCACTTATTTCCTGTGGTTTACCCCCTGTTTCTTTTCATGCTTACCATGACTCTATGAAGTTAATTTTAGCAAGTTTTCCACATGTTGTCAAGCTGTCAATCACTCATTTGGAATTAGACTCATAACCCCGGTGTAGAAATAATTATTTCTCAGTCTTTCTTAGTTGTCCTACTCAGTGGATCAGCTGTTTCTTTAAGCACATTTATTATACACATTCCATGAACTTTTCTTCTGACTATATTCATTCATTTTTTTCCTTCTTCTCTCCTCTCCTCTCCTCTCCTCTCCTCTTCTCTCCTCTCTTCTCTCTCTCTTTCTTCTTTCATTTAGCCACTGAAAGAGTTAGGAGTTTTGTGCCACTTTGGTTTATGTGGAGATCATCATCCTTATAAAAGTTTTGTGTCTCATGCCTGTAATCCTAGCTACTTGGGAGGCAGAGATCAGGAGGATCAAGGTTTGAGCTTAGCCCAGCAACAAAAGTGAGATCCTATCTAAAAAATGCCCAACCCCAAAAAGGGCTGGTGAGTGGCTCAAGTGTGAAGCCCTGAGTTCAAACCCCAGTACTGCAAAAAATAAAAAAAATTCTTTTGTTGACCCCAACCAGTCATCTAATCACTCGCTTTAAATCTAAAACTCTCTTCCTTGTGTTATCACATAAATTGTTAATTTGGTTGATTTCTTCTACTGTTTTAGGTGGCCGAGGAAAGGACAATGCTTGGATCATTACATTTCCAGAAAACTGTAATTTCAGATGTATACCAGAGGAAGTGATAGCAAAAGTACTCACTTACTTGACATCTATTGCAAGGTATGACATTTCATTATGTTTTAAAAATTTGTTATATATCAAATACCCATTTAAATGTTATAATAGGAAAATAGATTGCTAGTATAGTTGATATTATTGCTGTGGATAATAAGCAGACTTGCCTTTGAGTAGTAAGAATTATAACAGAAGGGGAGAGTAACACCTACTCGCATTGCTGTAAAAATTATCCCTAGGATCTATGAAAACAAAAAAGGCGTCTGGAAGTGTTTGCCCTTATGAAGGAGAACACAAGCTAAGTATGGCGATCAGACAGAAGGACCTTAATTTGCATAAGAGGAAATCTTACCAGCCAAGAGTGAGGACAGCCTTTCTTCATTTCATCCAAGGATAACACAAGGCTGCATGTTAGGTGGACACAGTGGTTGTATTGGGAGATACTATAAGGAGTGACTTGATATTAAAATCATTTGGAACTAGAATGATTTAAAGTGGAAAGTTTAAACAGCTTCCTTAGAGATTTTATTTGTGTTGAAGATAAACCTGTTAAAAGAAGCATTTTCCAGTTACTAACCCTGAAGAATAAGAAAGCATAAATATAGGATGGTAACACTGGAAGAGTCTTATGAACAAAAATCAAATCCCAGAAGAGTAAATTTGTAGTATACCTGTTGAAGCTTAACAGTGGTCTGTTTTAGGGCAAATAACAATTATATTATCCATTAAAGTACACTCCCTCCAGAAGCAGACTAGAAATAGAAAAATATACTTAACAGTATTTTTCCAAATGAATGAATGGATCTTTGACTTTTGATGGATTGCCATTTAAGGTTAAATCTGATGTTATGAAGGACAGCTGTTTATGGGTTCTCTCCAAATTTCAGTATTCTAAATCCATTTTCCTAAACTATCTTCATTAGAGTATCACTTCCCTATATAAAAGATTGACATTAGTAAGGAAAATATTTAAATATTGAACAGGGGAACATATAATTAATTTTTTAAAGATAGTACATTGTAATGGATTTTCTGTCTTCAGTCACACATTACATGTAAATAATCAGATATAGAGACATATGTTGCACATTTGTGTAGTTAGTAAGAAAAATTATTTCCTCTTACCTGCAGGCAAAATGGGTCTGACTGCCAGTTTACCATTATTCTGGATCGAAGATTGGACACATGGTCTTCTCTCAAAATCTCTCTCCAAAAAATCTCAGTAAGTATCACATACTCTACAGTAACTTCTTACTTTTGGTTTATACTCTACTTACAGTTTTGGAGGTATAGATTATTTCGATACTGGTGGATACAATAAAAATAGATGAGATAATGAGGAGGGAAGGTAGGAAGAAGATTTTGTAGAGGGGTCTGAGGTAGACAACTTCCCCCAATATAAAATCTAGTGTGAAAGAATGAGTAGGTAGTGGGTCAATTTATGAGTGAGCAAAGTACTTACTGTTCTAAATCCTTTCAGAGTAAAGCAAGTTTTTATGGTAACTTTAAAAAATGGAAATAGGTATGTTGTATACTCATTATGTGTAGAAAAATATAAAGAAAAATGTTTAAGACAATAGCCAGAAATCCAACACCCAGAAATAAGCATTTTAAAAAATAATTTGGTGTGTATCTTTATAGAGTTGGTTTTTGCAAGGATAGAATAGGGAAGTGAGTCACCTACAAAGTGACGTATCTCCCTATTGGAATCTAGTCTTCAGCTTCCCCAGACCCACACAGAGAAAACGGTTTTCCTAAAAGAAACAATATGAGAAATATAATCCTGCTCACAACTGTCTTCAACAAGTAGTGGAGATAACACCAGAGTCAAACAAGTTACTAAAATAAAATAACAAAACCTTTACTTGTATGTTTTTGCTTTCTCAAAAACATTCACATAATTCTTAAGTAATGCTGACACTCCTTAGTTTCTGGTTAAGTACTAAAAGCAGGTAGCACTATAATTGTTGTATAGATGGTGAAATTACATTGATATATTCACTTTAGAAAGGTTATGTGAAAGATCCAAGGTCAAATAGCTAAGCATGAATTCCAGGTGTTGTCCTTTCTACCTGCTGCTTTCTGTCATTTTCCAAATGGCTTATGGACACACAACTGAATTCAGTGTTTTTTAGAAAAAGGTTAAAATTCCTTTGGAGAGAGGAGATCTGCCCTCCATATACTCTTGAGCCCTATCAATGGGGCAAACAAAGCAAAGGCCATTATCTTGGCTGTGACTTTTTAGGAGTGGTTCTTGGGCTTGTTGCATAGATTTTGGTTATGCCAGCAATCAATTCCTTTATACTAAGTAGAGTACCTGTTGCAATAAAACAATTTTTACTGTCTAGCTTTTTTTTTTCTTTTGGCCAACATTGAGCCTGCTTGGTTAAATTAATTTTCGTTGTCTGTTTGGCAGTTGTCAACACTCTTTTGGTAAAGTTTTACTATTATTAATCAAATAGGCTGCTTGGAACAGAAGTCTTACTTTCCGTAAAAAGAGAAATATAAGATTAGGTATTGACCTTAACAATTTGATGACTTATTTTCCTAAAGCTGCTCTTCCTGGGGAATCTCCAACCTTGTTTAGTAAGAGGTTGGAGCTCAGGGTCCTTTTATTCTCCTAACTGCCAAATTGATGGTGCTGGCTAAGAGTGAGGGTACAGGTCCTGTGACACATAACTGACTGTAGGTTGTTCTAGGTGTTTTGCTTTTACACTTTGCAATGATCAAATTAGGGTCATTAGCACATCCATCCCATTAAACATTTATCAATTCTTTGTGGTGAAAAGATTTAAAATACTCTCTTGTAGGTAGTTTAGGGGCAGATTAGTTAATTTGGAAGAGAATCATGTCTGTCTTAGAAAGTTTGCATGTTCTGTTCTTCTCAGATTATTATGACAAAATTTCACAAACTGCAACCTTTCCCAGTGCTTAACCCTAGAATAAAATTTAATAAAACCATATAGAGTTGGAATTTAAGTCACTGACCAGGATAGGACAAGAGTAAAAGGTACAGCTAATACTACCTTCACAAAGATTGCTAGCATTCCACCTTAAAAATCCAACTGCGCAGAGGAGAAAGCCAGTCCCATCCAGACTGCTTCTTGGCGGAGGGTTGGGTTTTTCCTTCTTCCTCTCTTAGGACATTCCTGATCTCCTGGAGCCGACAGGCACAGGCTAATCCTCACGGTTCAATCTGGCTAAGTAGCTGGGGGAATGTGGCACCTCTGAATTACAATGAGCAGCAGGGAAGGATCTGTCAGCTGACTAATCAGGGATAGTGGGTTTTTTTTGCAGAGCTGCAGCAGTGGTAATGGAAGAAGCTACGCTAGCTTTGTTTGATAGAGATTTTTGGCTGCCGTTTTTAAATACCACCCAAGAAGCAGCTCATATTTCATCAATGTTACATTGACAATTGGAAAAGAAGAGTGTAATTGTGTGTAGGAGAGATGGCAGAAGCAAATCCCCCGAGAGGCAAGATGAGGTTCAAAAGGAATGCGGTAAGGGCTCTGCCTGCAGTCCTGGAAAGCCTATTCCCAAGTTCAAGTGCAGCGATGCTGCAGCATGGTGCTACAGCACATACTGCTGAGTGGGGCTTTTAAGGACAGATGGAGAGAATGGAGTCTTGTATTTGCGTGGCTTGCATTGATGTGATTACTGTGAGACGGGCTAGGGTAATTTAAGGAAGTGGACGAGGAAGAATATTGTTTCTAAACCTAAATGGTACTAAGCTTATGTTAGTCATGTTATTTGTTTAACAGTGTGTTAAACAGTGTGTTTAACAGTGTGTTAATGATTTTGAATCATTTGACTGAATAGTCTTGAACCACGAGTTAAAATAATATCTAATGAAAGGTTTCATGCTTTCTTTGCCCATGGTCAAGTACAGTGTCATATCATGGATGGGTCTGGAGGAGATTTCATCAGTACTTAGAAGATGGCCCTTCTAGTGTCACTGTACAAGTGAAAACATTTAAACATCTGAAAGATATGAAATCTTTATGGTTTCAAATCTTCTCTAAACTTACACTTTAAAGATGCAGAATTCTCTCTTCCAGGTACATTGCAAACACTCCATCTAAATTTTCCCCTCATTAGTTCATTCATATACTAAATTATCCAGAAAATTTCCTAATATGGTCCTTAGATATGTTTTAAAGAAATGTTGAAATAACACTAGCTAATAACAAATTGGTTATCCATAAGGCTTTAAATGATATTTTTTTCCTTTAAAACTTAAATGACGTTATTGGTGCTATGGTTTAAAATACAAACTTGCTCACTCAAAAAATTGAGATAACACACACACAAAAAGAAGGTAAAAATTGATCATAGAAAAAACTGACATTATGAATCAAAAGTAAGATAAGGAAAATAAGAATGTCTTTGTTGTTGAATGACAGTGAACATCAATGGGTGAGTAAATTATTTTCTAACATGGCTCTTAGCACACAATGCTATTTTAAATATTACAGTTAGGATATGACTCTTGATTTTGGCAAAATTATGTATTCAACCCTATATATGATTTTGTATTGTGAGAATAATAGGTTTAGACATTTAATAGACAGTTTATGGTGTATAAGAAATGTCTATCTGTTTTTGCAGGATTGGATAGAACTGACATTAGCACTTTTGTTATGAAAGGTAACTGACTTAAGATTTCAGGAAATTCCTAATTTCTTTCTGTACATATATATTTCTCAGTGAGAAACTTAGTTTCATGTATGCATGCACATTAATATGCATGCAAATAAATACTGCACCTGGGTACTTATTGAATACATGTATCTGGCACTGTGTACATAGAAGATAGGCTACAATGGTAAAAATGGAATGGCTACTGTGCCGAGCGAGCTCTCCATAGTGTGTGTGTAGGCGGGGGGGGGGTGCGGGGGATGTTCATAGGTAACTATTTCACAAGAACTCAGACTTACACAGGAGATGTCATTTGTTTAGACCTTAGGTCAGCGCATACATTTTCCATGATTCTTTCCTGTGTTTTTCCTTCATAAATTAATTACTTGAAGTGCCCCTTAGGGACAGATATCTTGACATGCAACTGGTGGGATTAATTCCAAAGCCTGGAACTATTGAGAAAGGCAAATGTGTTCTGCTTACATGGATAAGACTTGACCACAGTGAAAAATTTGAACCTCCCCTAGCTGGTTACAAAATGGTTTGACCTTGAAGGATTGGGCTGATCCTGGAGGCTATGATAGGCCTAAACAGATGGTTCAGTGGAATTTAAAGTTAGTTCAGGGAGGGCAGCAGTTTCAATGACTACAGGTGAGAGACAAGGAGCAGATAGAAAGAGATACAAGTAAGAAGAAGGGTATACCATAAGGGAGGAGTATTGCTTGGGACTGTCCTGCTCCTGAGGTCACTTGGCAAGTTACTTGACAACATGTGAAGTGACTTGTACTTACTGTACTCTCTGAGGTGGGGGTGGGGGGATTCTGTGGAAGTGGCTGATGTCACTGAAAACTGTTCTCTACAGCTTGATCATAGGATTTTTCCAGCATATTCTGCAGAGATGTTTGAGACCATATCAAGGCTAGTCATATGTCAGCATCTCAACATTATGTTCTGTGATGATATTAGGTTATAGTAATTTCTACTCAATGAGCTTCTTGATGCTAAATTGTTTCCCATAGCTTATTTCAAATATTATTATTGGCTCCATTTTGTAGAGTCAAGGTCAAGTCATTCTTAAATGGCAAACAATAAATCCAAGTGTGCATTCAGTGTATGACGTGTTGTCTGGAAAGAGCTTGCCCTTAGAATCCAGAGAATTCTTAGTGCCATTGCCTACTAACTGTTCTTCAGTTTACTCATCTGTAAAATGGGATAATACCTACTTTGCTGCAGTGTGATGAAGATTAAACAAGCCTGGCATGTATGTAATGACGACTTTTAGTCAAGGGTTCCCCTTTTTTGCTACTGTGTTTCTTAGTCTAAGGTTAAAAAGAAAGTTATAGGATTACAAATTGCTTTTATAGTAAGCAAGCAAAATTTTATGTTTTGTAAGGTACTTTAAACATTTTTAAAGAAATAACTAGAATAACTAGACAGTGCATAGGGTAGATGTACTGCCTCCCTTACATACCACACCAAAGAATACTGACCGAGGTTACTTTCTGGACTTTACTAGTGAAATGATGTATCAAGTTTGTGCCTGTTCTGGTTGCGACTGCTGAAAGATCACGTACCTGGTTAGTA